GACCACAAAGGATTAGGGACATAGGCATAATGACCATTACGGATCGACATATACATAACGATCGTAATGGATCGACAAAGAAAATTATCTCCTGTAATCAATTTTTGTATAATTAAAAAAAAAAACATTTTGACCAACATAAAAGAAGTTTCAATGGGTGTAGAATAAGGTTCTAGAAGCAAAGTTAGAAGAGCCCAATCCTTGACATGCAAGAATTCAGTTTCCCATCGTACAATATAAACATTAAAGTTTGAGCATGAGATCATTATAAACTCAAGAAGCACTAAGAAGAGTTTTTTTATTATTATTATTATTTTTTTATTTTTAAATCACACTAATCGTCTTTGTAATTTAGGATTTATATAATTTTATTTTCTAACCTTTCAATTGTAATACATTTAATTTTAAATTTTGAATCTTGTTTTAAATAAGGACAATTAAAGACATTATTACTTCATTTCAAGGGTAAAATCGTTAATTTGATAAAATATAAATAGTTTGACAAAAATAAATAGGGAAAATCGGTTTAAGGTCCCTATCCAACTTTTAGTAATGGATTAGGTCCACAATGTGTTCTTTTGTAGCCTAAAGTCCCTCAATGTTATTTTAGAGTGTAAAATACCTGTCTTACCCTTATTTATAATATACGTTTGATAAATCTTTTACATTTTTATTTTTTTATTAAATTTATTTTTATTATATGTTTTGATAATGATCATGTAATGAGTGATTGTTTTGGTTGATATTTTTAGATGATTATCATATAATAGATGATTGTATTTGTTATTAATAGATATTTTTAGATAATTATCATATAATAAATATAAAATATTTTTAGTTTTGAATTTTTTGATATGGATTAGTTTAATAATGATATCAAAATGATCGCCATATTTGACTTTTGAAAAAATATAAACCAATTTAACGAAAATAAATATAAAAACATATATATTTTAAAAAATTATTTCTACTCTTCCAAAAGGTAAAATTATATAAAAATAAAGTGTCTAATTTTTTTTACCAATCTAATTTTTAATTTCTTAAAAAAAAATTCCAAATAGATTCTAAAAACCAAACCAAACATTACTTTATAACTATGAAAGTTCCAACATTATTTATTAAAAAAAAACTATTACATTTCAAACAACATAAAAATTAACTAATACAAAATAAGTTATATGATGACTTGTACATAAAAAAAACTATTTACAAAGGAAATATTTTTTATTATTCTTATTTAAAATAAGATTCAAAATTTAAAATCAAAATTATTACATTTAAAAAATCAAAAATTAAAATAACACAAGTCTTAAATTACAGCCCTGCTAGTGCAATTCGTTATTTTTAGTGTGGATAATAACTAATAAGGTTTCTTGAATAATGGCTCGTCAACGTCACAGCATAACTCAGCATTCCTCCTAAATGTGAACAAAGCAAAGCTTTGGTCAATGAAATACAATAAATTGAAAAAGCTTTGGCCAATGAAATACAATAACGTGATCACTTTTGTAACAGTAGTGATAGAGATTTCACAAAACATAATCTCACAATCTTTCAAATGATTTGAACTATTCATGTTATTATCAGATACAATTTAAAAAAAATTCAAACACATCAATAATTAATACATTAGTGGAGGTTGTGAAAATCCTCCTTTGTGGAGATTCCAAACATTTTTCCTTTTGTAATTCGTTTATGGGCTTTTTTTAAACAAATTTGGTCGATTTAAGTTAGATTTAGAGTTTGTTTAGGAATTAAATCCAATTATTAAGATCTATTAATAATTTACCTATATATGTTTTTGTAAATAATATTTTTTATCCCCAACGATGTGTCATTTCCCCATTTTATAATTTTAACTAATAAAAAAATGTGATTCAAAGAAAAAAAAAAACTAATAAAATGCAAGGTCTGTGTATTACATACCTATCGATAATGCTGTGATGAGATTAATTATTATAAATGTTATGACTAATTATGTAAAAGTCATAATTAAAAGAAAAAAAATTAAATATTTTAAAAAAAGTATAATAAATTTTTTTTGACCATAATTAAAACAAAAAATTATAACTAATATCTCAATTAGTCACCACTAAAACTCAAATAGGTACTAATCAAATAATACAAAAATCATAACTAGGGATGCATTCGGTGGAATTTCCCTGTAGATATACCCAAACACCCAAGTTGAGAAGTACCCACCAAAATTTATACAACCAAACATGGAAGCTACCTTGCTTAACATACGCATCTCTCTCCGTTCTCACTCTCATTATTGCTTTTAAGTTCTTCTCACAATTAAGATCTCAGCGCCGCCGTAACCTCCCGCCTAGTCCACCAGCTCTTCCGGTCATAGGTCATCTCCACCTCCTCAAACCACCTCTCCACCGAACTTTCCACCGAATCTCTCAAAACCTCGGCTCCGTCTTCTCCCTCAGCTTCGGCTCTCGCCTCGTCGTGGTGGTCTCGTCGCCTTCCACCGTGGAACGTAGGGTATTTTGGTCCAAGAAATTGATAAAATGAGTGGGTATTTTGGTTAGGGACCTGAGGCAGTATTACATTTTTTAATGTCTTTTATGCAGAAAATTGTTATTATTAGGGAGCTTAAAAAAAAAACCTCTAATTTAATCTGATTCAAATTACTTTGCGATTTTTTTATAAAAAAAAAAAATCAACCATAATTCTCTGCATCACTTTTTTTTTTAAATAGTGTATATTTACACTAAAAAAAAAAAAATACAAATTAGTGGTTTCTATACCAATTTTAATAATGAAAATTAGAGAAATACTCTGAAGTGCATTGCACATCGTATGCAACTTTAACACAATTATGTAAGTTTTTATGAGAATTTATGTTCAATTTACATATTTTTGTAATATTATTTATGTAATTTTATAAAAATTTATGTAATTTTGTGTTACAATTACATATGGTGTGCACGGGAGAGATTTTTTTTTTTTTTTTTTTCCAATTGGCAAGAGAAAATCGTGTGACACACAGTTTCACATTGACGATATGAACATTTACGTTGACGGTGTGAACATTCACATTAAGGGTATTTTGGTAATTATGTCACCCATAGGACTTATTGAAACATAAGAAAATAATGTGAACTAAATGGAACATAAGTAGATGAAAAGGGTATTTTGGTCTTCTTATCTCAAATTGGACCTAATGGAATAGTCAAAAAGAATATGGGTTGGATGGAATAAATCTCTTAGAAAATGGATTTATCAAAAAAACTCCCTTTTTTTTATTATTATTATTTTTATTTTTGAATCACACTAATCGTCTTTGTAATTTAGGATTTATATAATTTTATTTTCTAACCTTTCAATTGTAATACATTTAATTTTAAATTTTGAATCTTGTTTTAAATAAGGACAATTAAAGACATTATTACTTTATTTCAAGGGTAAAATCGTTAATTTGATAAAATATAAATGGTTTGATAAAAATAAATATCAAAAACTTATTGTTAAATTTTAAAAAATTATTTATATCCACCGAAGATAAAATTATATAAAAATGATAAATCTTTTACATTTTTATTTTTTTTATTAAATTTATTTTTATTATATGTTTGGATAATGATCATGTAATGAGTGATTGTTTTGGTTGATATTTTTAGATGATTATCATATAATAGATGATTGTATTTGTTATTAATAGATATTTTTAGATAATTATCATGTAATAAATATAAAATATTTTTATTTTTGAATTTTTTGATATGGATTAGTTTAATAATGATATCAAAATTATCGCCATATTTGACTTTTGAAAAAATATAAACCAATTTAACGAAAATAAATATAAAAACATATATATTTTAAAAAATTATTTCTACTCTTCCAAAAGGTAAAATTATATAAAAATAAAGTGTCTAATTTTTTTTACCAATCTAATTTTTAATTTCTTAAAAAAAAATTCCAAATAGATTCTAAAAACCAAACCAAACATTACTTTATAACTATGAAAGTTCCAACATTATTTATTAAAAAAAAACTATTACATTTCAAACAACATAAAAATTAACTAATACAAAATAAGTTATATGATGACTTGTACATAAAAAAAACTATTTACAAAGGAAATATTTTTTATTATTCTTATTTAAAATAAGATTCAAAATTTAAAATCAAAATTATTACATTTAAAAAATCAAAAATTAAAATAACACAAGTCTTAAATTACAGCCCTGCTAGTGCAATTCGTTATTTTTAGTGTGGATAATAACTAATAAGGTTTCTTGAATAATGGCTCGTCAACGTCACAGCATAACTCAGCATTCCTCCTAAATGTGAACAAAGCAAAGCTTTGGTCAATGAAATACAATAAATTGAAAAAGCTTTGGCCAATGAAATACAATAACGTGATCACTTTTGTAACAGTAGTGATAGAGATTTCACAAAACATAATCTCACAATCTTTCAAATGATTTGAACTATTCATGTTATTATCAGATACAATTTAAAAAAAATTCAAACACATCAATAATTAATACATTAGTGGAGGTTGTGAAAATCCTCCTTTGTGGAGATTCCAAACATTTTTCCTTTTGTAATTCGTTTATGGGCTTTTTTTAAACAAATTTGGTCGATTTAAGTTAGATTTAGAGTTTGTTTAGGAATTAAATCCAATTATTAAGATCTATTAATAATTTACCTATATATGTTTTTGTAAATAATATTTTTTATCCCCAACGATGTGTCATTTCCCCATTTTATAATTTTAACTAATAAAAAAATGTGATTCAAAGAAAAAAAAAAACTAATAAAATGCAAGGTCTGTGTATTACATACCTATCGATAATGCTGTGATGAGATTAATTATTATAAATGTTATGACTAATTATGTAAAAGTCATAATTAAAAGAAAAAAAATTAAATATTTTAAAAAAAGTATAATAAATTTTTTTTGACCATAATTAAAACAAAAAATTATAACTAATATCTCAATTAGTCACCACTAAAACTCAAATAGGTCCTAATCAAATAATACAAAAATCATAACTAGGGATGCATTCGGTGGAATTTCCCTGTAGATATACCCAAACACCCAAGTTGAGAAGTACCCACCAAAATTTATACAACCAAACATGGAAGCTACCTTGCTAACATACGCATCTCTCTCCGTTCTCACTCTCATTATTGCTTTTAAGTTCTTCTCACAATTAAGATCTCAGCGCCGCCGTAACCTCCCGCCTAGTCCACCAGCTCTTCCGGTCATAGGTCATCTCCACCTCCTCAAACCACCTCTCCACCGAACTTTCCACCGAATCTCTCAAAACCTCGGCTCCGTCTTCTCCCTCAGCTTCGGCTCTCGCCTCGTCGTGGTGGTCTCGTCGCCTTCCACCGTGGAGGAATGTTTCACAAAGAACGACGTCGTGTTAGCCAATCGTCCCCCGCTCATCGGCGACAAGTACATCGGCTACAACTACACCAGCGTCGTCGACTCCCCCTACGGCGACCACTGGCGCAACCTCCGCCGCCTCATGTCGCTCGAAATCTTCTCCACGACTCGACTCAACGCCTTCTTATCGGTCCGAAAAGACGAAATCAAGCTCCTCCTTCGAAATCTATATCGAAATTCGTCGGCTGATTTCGCAAAAGTCGAATTGAAATCGAAGTTTTCGGAGCTGAGCTTTAACATCATCATGAGAATGATCGCCGGAAAGAGATACTACGGCGAGGATTTGGAGAACCACGAGGAGGCGAAGCAGTTTCGGGATCTGGTGAGCGAGACATTCGAACACGGCGGTGCGTCGAATCCTAACGATTTCTTACCGGTTTTGAGGTGGATTGATTATGGGAATTTTGAGAAGAATTTGGGGAGAATTCATAAGAGGATGGACGTGTTGTTGCAAGGTCTGATCGATGAACACAGAAGCGATAAGAGTAGGAATTCGATGATCGATCATTTGCTCTCGTTGCAAGAATCGCAGCCTGAATATTATACAGATGCAATTATCAAAGGGCTTATCTTGGTAAGTGGCCACTCCAGTATCTCTTAGAGTAATTTTCCTTTGATTGTTTTTTTAAGTGATTCAAATTTGATTTTATAAAAATTGAAGGTTTAGTTAGGGGTGCAACTCGGGCGGGTTCGGTCGTGTTGGGGGTTTGTCCAAGTCCAGTCCGAATGTCCGAATTGTATTTAGCAGTGCCCAAACCCGCCCAAGCCCGGCCATCAACCCAAGCATAGCTGCCTAAGCTTGGACCAACCTTTATAATTTGAACTCAGGTTAGCTTGAATTGCCCGAAATTCACAAACAGCTTCTGAATGCTTCATTATATATATATACACAAGTCCATTCACATCTGGTCTATGAAGCACGAGTACTCTAAAAATGGTGCCGTACGAGTACCGGGTACGTACCAGGTACGAGTACGCGTACCAGTATGACTGCACGCGTATTGGGTACGGCCAAAGAGGGTTCGGTACGTTTGGTACATTTGGGTACGGCATGGGTACGTCGTGGGTACGGAGGGTTACGCCGTGGGTACGTTTTGGGTACACCGGGCAAAAAATCAAATTGCAAAGAGATTCAAGGTACCGAAGCAATTTTTTTATGTTCTTTATTAAAAAAACAAAAAATAAAGGGTTATTTTGTAATATTAAAAATATATACAAACCTAGTTTATCGGGACATCATAATCTTCAATCTCAGTTCTTCCTTCGAATCCTTATCCCTGCCAGCGAGTTCCTTGAGAGCAAGACGGAGAGAGCCGACTAAGGACTTAGGGGTCTCGGAGGGTTTGGAGTGAAAGATTTCGAGGGTGAGGAGAGAGTCGTGGAAAGGGAGGGAAAGGGAGAGGACGAAGTGCTCGTTCCAGACGGTGCAGGTGGAGCCAAAGTCGTCGGACTTGGTGGCCAAACAACAATCTGAATCCACCTAGAAGATCGCGTAGGGCTTCAGATCGTCGGACTTGTTGCCATTTCTGCTGGTGGGTTGGGTTGATTTGGTGTGAGAGAGAGAGCGAGAGATAGAGAGATAGAGAGAGAGAGAGTGAGAATGGTCCGGTGCTACAATTGTCTTCATTGGAAGGGGAAACTGGTATGGGAATTGGTAAATGTCTCTTTCTTTTATTTACACCCTCCCCCTCTCTCTCTCTGTGGCTATACAATATAATATAATTATACACTGACTTATCCTTTTGAATACACTGACTTATCCTTTTGAAGGGGAAAAAAAATTATAAAAAAATAATAATAATTTAGAATTTCATTTTAACGATAAATAAAATTTTTAACTTTTAATTATTTTAATTTTAATTTTTAATTTTTAAAATGATATTAGTTATGACCATTTTTGTAGTTCTCTTTTTAGTTTTGATATTAAATTTTAATTTGTAGGTTAGATCCTTAACCACAATTATAAAAATAAAAATAAAAATTATCGACGTACCGCAGCCGTACCCGTATCATATTTTTTTGAGTTTTGACGTATCGACGTACCTGTACTCATACCCATGTCGTACTCGTACATGCACCCGTGTTTCAAAGCATCTGGTGCATAAAAAACTGGTACATATAAAACATTGGTACATATAAATGCTAGACATGCTAGAAATGGTAGACCAGCCACAAACTTCAACATATTTGAAAGTTTCTTCAATTGCAATTAATTAACAAACAATGGTTTATTATTCCATATAACGAACAATGCTTCATTATTCCATACATAAGGTAGGATTTTCTTTTTAAATTTAGGCTAAGTTTGGGAAGACTAAATAAGTGCACTTTTTGTCTTTTTGGACTAAAAAATTGAGGTTGAAAATATGGATGTTTGGGTTAACTTTTTGACTTTTTATTGAAAAATGTGTAATAAAAAATTGTAAAAATTGATTTGTAGAGAAAAATTTGAATTGGGAGTTGTGCAGCCGTAATTGTTGACTTTTGGTGAATAGTGTTAACTTTTTAACTTTTTGAGTAACTTTTTGACTTTTTGGCTTTTTTGAAACATCCCAAACTTGGCCTTAATCTAATGGTCCAAATAAAAGATGCTAATCCAAGGGTGAAAGACCAGCCAATAAATAAATAAATAATTAAGAACATCTATTTAATTTAATTTATACATATATTATATAATTTATATAATATATTAAATACAATTCGGGTTCTGATTGCTTGGGTTAGCCACTGATTCTGCACAGGCCCGACCCAAATTACAATTTGGGCATCAAAAATCTGCTCAGGCCCGTCCAAATTACAAAATATTGTTGTCCAAACCCTAAAAAAACTCAGGCTGGGCACGGGTTGCTCGGGTTGAGCGCGCCCGAGTTGCACCCCTAGGTTTAGTTTTGGATTTATAATTTGAATATAAAATTGTGATTTAAATGAAAAATTGTAAATTAAGTTTTGAAAAGAGAAAATTTATTTAATTATGAATTTTTAAAAATGTTTTGAAAAGAGTTTTAAAATTTTTTAATTTTGAAAAGAGTGTTGGTACACTAATTAGTACATGTAATACCACCGTTTGAAAATAATTTTGAGTTTTATTTTAAATTTTTAGTTTTTTGAATTTTGAGTTGTATTTTGAATTTTTTAAATTCATTTTTAGAATATTTACCAATAAATCTCATCTTACAAACAAGTATTTCAATTAGTCCCAAGTTTTTTCTATTGATCGGTTAAGTCTATTAATTGAGAGTTTCTTTTCATGTGGTCTTATTTTTTATTTTGGTAGTGTTTTGGTAAAAACTATACATTTTTATTAATGTGACAAGTATGATGTGATACTCCAATGTGATAGATATTAATGTGACACTCAAAAAAATAAAAACTCCTTAGTGTATTTTTTTTTTCCAAATGTGACAATGTGACGAGTATATGATGTGACACTTCAAAAAAATATAAATTTCTTGGTGTATTTTTTTAAAATGTGGCAACATGTCGGGTATAATGTGACACTCTAAAAAATTTAAAAACTCCTTAGTATACTTTTTCCAAATGTGATATGTGACACTTCAAAAAAAAAAAAAAAATTTAATGTACTTTTCTTAAATGTGATAACGTGACGGGTATGATGTGACACTATAAAAAAAATTAAAAACTCTTTAATGTATTTTTCTTAAATATGACACTCTAACGTGATGGGTATGATGTGATATTAAAAAAAAATTTAATTTACTTTTTTCAAATGTGACTCCACAATGTGACAAAGCAAATGAGTCATTACACATCTAAAAAAACAAAATGAATCACATAAAAAAATATGGAACTATATTACAAGTCCAAAATATGAGATTTATTAATAAAACTCTTTTTTTTTTCAAATATTAAAAAATATTTAAGAAAAATTATTTTTTTATTTTAAATATATAATTTTTATTTAAATATTTTATTTTATTTTGTAAATATTTTAA